CGAGTGGGTGGACGTAGCTCGCGGCCAGCTTACCTGCCCGGCTGCATGGTCCTGCGGGCCTGGCGTGCGGGAGGGCGGCCGCACTGGGCCTGAAGGCTTCGGGCTCAGTCCGGGGGCCTGGTCTGCAGCCGGGTCGGGCAGAGCGTGGATCCGAGCACAGGGGGGCATCGGGCCGTGGGGTGAGGACCTGGCCAGCGTGGGGTTGCGCAGACCTGGGCTCGCAGCACTGTTTGCAGGCTGGGGCAGGGCGAAAGGAAAAGCAAGTCTTGCCATAGGGATGGCTCGGATTTCTCAAGGCCTTAATCCTGGCTTAGGGGCTTGAAATAGGGGTCTTGAGGGGGAGTAACCAAGTGCATCTCCTGAACAAACCACTAACTTCCTCCTCCCTCCTGGGACAGTGACCCTTAGGGTCCACTCGTCTCACAGTGTGACAGCTCCACAAACCCCAGGGCCGGCCAGGAGGCCACCCCTCTGTGCTCCAGCATTAGACCCTGAATTCCTCTCCGGACCGGGGGCCATGGTAGCCACGGAGGGGTCCAGGTTCCCTCCTTCCCTTCCCGCTCCCTCCCCCTCTTCTGTGAGGCCCGGGGTTGGGGGCCTCTCTGGAGCCTTGCTCAGTAGCCCCAGAAGTAAGTCCTCAGGAGTGAGGGGTCACTGACGCCCCACTGACCCTGGAGACTGAGGCCTGGCCCCGAGGGAGTTGATGTTGACGAGTGTCCAATGGTGTGTTCACAGCAGATAGACTGGACGGAGCCCTGGCTCCTCGGCCTGGTCGTCTTCCACGTACTCTGCCTGCTGCTCACCTGTGTGTCCTCCCGGCGATACGAACTGCAGGTCGGGCACTTCCTGTGCCTCGGTGAGTGGAATGGACAGAGCTATGTGTTGCGCCTTGCGTGTCCTCAGCATGTAGCGTGTTCCCGGGGCCCAGCCCTCTGTCTGAGGCTCTACTCTCAGTCTCAGGGCTCGCCCGGATTTCTCTCTCGGGAATTCCAGAGGTGACATGAATTTGTGGATATTGTATTTGAAAGGAATCTACCGAGCACCTGCCTTACCAGGGAGGGGTCGGGACCAGTTGCACAAGATGAGTCAGGGTTAGTGAGATGCTGATTCTTTACAAGCTTTTCGCCACGGGCGAGTGCCGTGCTGCTCGCTCTGGCAGGGAGGGTGCGAACTGGGAAGGACACGGGCACAAATCAGCGTCCCTGCGGCTGGGGCTCCTGCTGCCCTGGCTTGGCCCCCAATGCTGCTGCTCACAGGGCGGCCCCTGTTGGCAGAATCGCGAGGTCCCGGCTCCGCGGCTCTAGGCCCTGCTGCCCAGCGTCCCGTCGCCCTGACCTGTGCCTGGAGCATGTAGG